GATTCATATTTTTTAAGGCTTATAATTATTGTACTCATCCTAAAAGTAAATGTTTAAGAAATAAAACACACACACACACACATTTAAAGGAAGCCAACAATTTCTAGTATTGACTTCTTAACAACTATTTTCTAATTTTGTAAAATTACTTGGATATTCTGTGTTTCGTTTCATGCAGTTGGGTTGAATTAAGATTTCTAATGTCTCTTGTAGGTCTGAAAATAGGATACTAAATCAATATCAACGAACTATAAAGGTGACTTGGGTATTTTCAATAAAGCCAATATTATGTACTTTCCTAGAACTCGTAAAATAATTGAAATATAACAATGTGTATTCAGAAAATAATGTGCTAAAATTGTTCCACTTTTGACCCTTGGATTGCTACACTTATGTTTAAGCTCCACATTATCTCAGGTCTATTCTACTTTGAATAGAGATGAGAATGTTACATTTCAAAAATTATGGCTGCAATTAACTTTTTCCTCAGTCCAGTTTGTGTTCTCTGTCCAGTACATTATGAATGTCAGTGCCATTCAAAACCTGAATGTGTTTAAATTTTACATATTATATCTAAGTAGTGATATGTATATTCTCTGACTGCAGAAAGGAGACTGTTGTAATGAGGGAAGAAAGAGCACATGGGACTTTCTAGACTCAATTTTGTTTAGTCTAAGCAGGGAGTCTTTGGTTATAGTCTTTAAACTGTGCATAGTGTTGATGCTGCTTATGTAGAGTAGACTAAAGGTTGGAAGGAACTGGAACAGGAGTTGGAGGAAATCTTTCTTTCTAACTTAAATTCAAAAACACAAAATCTTAGGCTATGAGGATCTTTGGCAGTAGGGAGGTGGCGTAGCATAGGAGTGAAGATTGTGGGTAAGATAATCGCCTGTGGAGTCAGATAAACCTGGATTTGAATCCTGACTCCACCACTTATGGTATGATCATGGGCTAGTGCCTGGACCTCATTGGTCCTCAATTGCCCATTTGTAAAGTGAGGGGAATAATAGTTCCTGTCTCATAAATTTGTGTGGATTAAATTAGGTGATACATGCAGCATACCTAGCCCAGTGCTGGTATATGTTAAGCACTATTATTATTCTATTCATTCTAGGCCAAACTTATTTAGTACCAAATATAGTGAAGGCATGTACTGAGGTTTACTGTCTATCCAACCCCCAATAAGTCTACGCGAACACAGTATTATTTTAAATGATCATTTCTGAAAAAAAAAGTACAAGATATATATTGGTATGGCAATGAGTTGAAGTTTAGTCAGCTCAGTCTAGTCTAAAAATGAATGCAACATGGCATTCTATTCTTTACCTATGCACTAATACTGTCTTCCCCCAGTCTTAGATCCTATCCTTATTGCAATATTTTACCCCCTATTGTCTCATTTACTTAACAGTTCTACACTCTGGATAACTTCACAGTTTTGAACACTTTCCCTTTAAGATCACGATCTATGAATTTCCCCAAATTATTCCTGTATTTTTAAATTTCTCCTTGTTTCCTAGATCCTTCCTCTCAGATTCAAAGTACTATCTGTTTCAATTCTATCTAAAACACAACAAATAAACAACACATTTCCTTGACTCTTTAGCTCCATTAGCTAATGATCTATTTTTCTAATCTCCAACTAATCTTAATTTCTAGAGATAGTACTGTAGTTTAGAGCTGATGTCTACTTCTCATCACAATCACTCCTTAACTGATTGTATTCTGTCTCCTGTTCCCAGGACTCCACAGAAATCCCTCTGACAAAAGCTGCATGCAATGGATAATTACATCTTCATCTTACTGCATTTCATTTCTTTGTAACATTGATTATTCATTCCCAGACATCCTCTACCCTTTTGACACCATAAAGTCCCACCCACATGAATCTCCTTACACTTTTCTACAATAATTCCATGTCTAATATCTTCATTGGTTTTTGTATCTCCAGTCCAGAGTTTAGCCTTGAACTTCAGATCAATAAAGTCTGAATGACTTCATTTAAATGCCCCACAAATACCTCACCTCAAAGGTTTAATTCCTTTTCTGCCCTAACGCTGATTGTGTTTGTATGCTAAGTTGATGAAATTTTTAATCACTCATTGTATCAAATTTAGAAATATTTGCAGTCAACTTTGACTCATCTTTTTTTAAAAAAAAATAAAATTTTGTTTTGTTTTTGGTGAAGGTTTACACAAAAGTTTAGTTTACCGTTCAACAATTTCTGCGCAAGTTGTTCAGTGACATTGGTTACATTCTTCACAATGTGTGGACATTCTCATTATTTCCATTCTGGCTGTGCTGTTTCCATTAATCTCGTTTCCTTGCCCCTAATAATCTTGTCTTTGCTTTAAACTAATTGTGTACCGTTTGGTCTCATATAGGTGATTTTTTAAAGAAGCACCCTATTTACAGGTGATATTATTTTTTGAGCCAATTTGTTATTTAGCTGCAAGGTGACCTCAGGGATTAGTTTCAGTTCAAGATTTGAAGAGTGTATCAGGGCGATTGTCTCAGGGAGTCATTCAGTCTCAACCAGTCCAATAGGTCTGGCCTTTTTATTTAAGGAATTTGAGGTTCTGTTCCACATTTTTCTCCCGTTCCTTCAGGGTCTATCTATTGTAGCCCTGATTAGAAGTGGTGGCCTGGCATCATCTAGTTCTCTGGTCTCAGGGTAGATGAGGCTGTGGTTTGTGTAGACTATTTATCCTGTAGACAGTTTCTTCTTTGAGTCTTTGATTTCCTTCTTTCTCTTTTGCTCTGGATGAGTAGAGACCAATAGTTGTATCTTAGATGGCCACTCACATGCTTTTAAAACCCCAGACACTATTCACCAAACTAGGATATAGAACATAACTCTCTGATCTGTATTATGACAGCTAACCGAGATGCCCCGTGAGACTATGATTCTAAGCCTTTAAACTCAGAAATCGAGTCCCGCAAGGTGTTTGGTTATGTCTGAGAAGTATCTGTAACTGTGCCCTATGTGCTTTATTATATATATGAATATATATGCATATAGTCACATATATGCAAGTATGTATACATATGCATACATGCATATATACATACCTAAACACATATATTCCTACATACATACACATATATACCCACACATGCATTTTTTGGTTGTTTTTGCTGTTGTTTAAAAATTATATATGCCATAGCAATTGCCAATATGTTTTTTGTTTTCTTTTTTTTCTTGTGTATTTTTTAGTGACATTGTTTATCTTCATCAAGCTGTGTATACCTCACCCTTATTCGGTGTTACCTTTCCCACCACCAAAAAAGCAAGCGTCTACTATCTAGAGAGTGAATCTCCCTCCCCCCTCCCTCCATCCCTGGTAACCACTAATGAATATTAGTTTCTGTGTATTTACTTGTTCATGTTATTTCACAGAAGTGAGAACATACAATCTTTATTTTTTTGTGATTGACTTATTTTGCTGAACATAATGTCCTCCAGGTTCATCCATGTTCCAAGATGTTTCAGGAACTCATTTTTCTTAGTTGCTGAACAGTATTTCATTGTATGTATGTACTACATTTTATTTATCCATTCGTCCATTGATAGGCACTTAGGTTTTTTCTATCTTTTGGCTATTGTGAATAGTGCTGCCACGAGCATAGGTGAACGTATGTCTGTTCATGTCACTTCTATTAGATCCCTAGGGTATATATCTAGGAGTGGAATTGCTGGGTCATATGGCAACTCTACCTCTAGTTTTTTGAGGAAGCACCAACCTGTTTTCTACAATGGCTATACCATTTTGCATTGCCACCAGTAATTTCTTCACATCCCCTCTAACACTTATTATTTTTAATCTTGGCCATCTTAGTGGGAGTGAAATGGTATCTTATTGTGGTTTGGATTTGCATTTCTCTGATGGCTAATGACCTTGAGCATCTTTTCATGCGTCCTTTGTTTATTTGAATATCCTCTTTGGTGAAGTATCTCTTCATGTTAGTTTTTGATTGGGTTATTTATCTTTTTGTTAAGTCGTAGAAGATTTCTAAGTATTTTAGATAGCAAACCTTTATTTGTTATACCATTCCTAAAATTTTTTTACAAGTCTGTAGGTTGTCTCTTTACTCTCTTGATATAGACTTATGATGAACGTAAGTGTTTAACTTTTATGAGGCCCTAGTTGTCTATTTTGTTTTTTTGTTGCTCATGCATTCATTGTTGTGTTTTATAATCTATCATGAAAACAATTAGATCCCAAAGCTTCTGTTTTCTAGACTAACTTATCCTAGTTCCTTCTGGTTTTCAAGTAAAGGCTATGTTTATATGCTAAATAATATTTCATGAGATGCAGATGTTGATAACTGCAAGAACATTGTTGTAGGTAGTGATAGTACTAGCATTCTATGTCTTGCATTCTGAAGCTCGACTCTGCATGCAAATACGAAATGAATATCTCGAATTGATTCATTTCAACCATCTTAACACTAAGGTTCTGCTACAATGTATTATCAGCAGCATAAACCCATGAAGCAGTTCTACCCCAAATATTTTTTTAGTATTGTTTTGAATTTAGTTTTGCAATATTAAAAATTTCATGGGCACTTTTGCTTGGGCTTTTCTAGTTGGTAATCGTGTTTGTCAAAAACATTCAATTGTAACAGTTTTAAAACATATAATTTATAAAATAGAGAAGGGTTTTCAGATATAAATGTTAGTACTCAAGGTGTCTTACTCTACATAAGTGTACATTTGGAAAAAACAGAAAGGTTGAAACTGTCAATAATTATCTTTTTTGATTAAAAACCATTCTTTTGTAAATACATATAATGTCAAGAGTTATAGAATCTTACTCTTATTTTAATTTACTAATAATCTGTGATGGGTTAATTAAATCAGAAGAATGAAGTCCAACAATCAACAAAAACCTTAAAGCAATTTACAGTCCTTTTGAATCTTTAAAGAAAATCCAGTAAACACTTGAAGAACAAAATCAATGAAAAGTTTGAAATGTTTCTTTTCTGATTTGCCACAGGGTCCAAGCTTTCTCTCTGAGGCCCTTTTTCCTAAACGTACAACAAAAATTGAAGAAATGGATCCTTTTTTCAACCTTCATGAAACCATTACCAAGGTAGGGGAGGAATGTATTCATGAACAGGGTGGGAAAGTGTACTTTTTTTGTGGGTGAATGGGAGAAAGGAAAATACCAATTAAAAGAAATCTATATATTTTGATCTAAAGAATTTTAGTACCTTCTGTTATTTTGCTAAGGAGTAAAGTTAATAAGCAACTCATCCAAGATCCTACAGACCCATCCTGATGCCTTCCTCCCAAAATCAATGTTTAATAAAAACTTAGGTTTTTTTTGTGATATATTCTCAAATATACATCTTCCATTTGCATTAAGGGCTTATTCAAATTGGATATGGATTTCTGCATCTTTGAAGTTTTGTGTCAATATTAAGAAACTTTCTTGTTTGGAGTACTTTTTAGTTGGAATTAAAAAGGTCTCCATTTTTTAAAGAGAAAGATTGAGTTTATAATGAAAGTTTTTATTTATGATGGCCATATTTATATTTTCTTGCTGTATCTTCTTAGCAGTGAGTTTTATAGTATGGTGAAAATTAAGTTTTAAAATATGGAGAAAATAAATGGAATGTTCTGACATCAGATGATACCATATAAGTTTTTACATTTACCAATTTTCTGTTTAACCTGGTTTTTGACAATAGAAGTTGTAGAGATTTTTTTTTCATTCAGATATTCCAAATACTTAGAGCTTAGATTTAAGGTTTTGTTTTTTTTTCTTGTTTGTTTAAAGTAAAACATTATAGGATTTTAGGTCAATGGCATCATAATATTTTCTCCATTTTTTTCTGCTTTGCTCTGGATCTGTAAAATCAAGAATTTTTGTAGAAGGTACAATTTTAGACCATGTTGACATCGAATATATAATGGGATGACAATGTCCAGCCACATGAAATCCTCAGCCAAGGAAAATGCTAGGCTTTTAATTTTAAAGTTATAAATGCACAGCTGATTCTGGGTGCCTGAGGTCTTGGCCACACATAAGAGCTACAACTACTGAGAGCATGCTGGGAAGCAAGGATGGATCAGGAAGGGCGTAGGGGAGCATTAAATGTAGCCTGAACATATACTAGAGGTCAATACTTAGTGTGAGAGAGACAGAAAATAAGTGGTTATTAGAGAGAAGACAAATTTGTACACAGATATTGGAACATATTCCAATCTTTACATGTGTTTTCAAATAGATTTTATATGTAAACAGGTATTTGGCTAACCCATTAAATGGCTGTTTAAAGGAATTGCATTTATACGAAATAATTTAAAAACTGCTTAAGTTCAGAAGCAAGAGTTCTGTGGCACTTTTTATGATCAGAAATATTTATCATATCTACTTGATGACAGTCACTTATGCTGCAGACATAGGACAAGGGAAGATATTGTGTCTCACATATTCAGTCTTACTTCACCAATAGTAGAACTTGTGGCATCATAAAAAGAATTATTAAAGAAGTACTTCTTTTTAAAGTCAAATGTTCTCTGATTAACAAAATAAAAGTAGCTATTGAATAAGGGGCTCTGGTGGTGCAATGGTTAAAGCACCCAGCTGCTAACTGAAAGGTCAGGGGTTCAAACCCACCAGCCACTCCATGAGAGAAAGATGTGGCAGTCTGCTTCCATAAAGATTACAGCTTTGGAAACCATATGGGGCAGTTTTACTTTGTCCTATAGGGTTGCTATGAGTCAGAATCAACCCAACAGTAAGAACCACAATATGAATTTGGAGCCATGTTTTTTTTTAATCTATTAAATATAGAGAAGTTGAGTTGAACACCTGACCAGGAATTAAGGAGAATGAATTTAGTTCTATCTTCATTACCAACTTACTATATTATTTAGTAGAAATTCATTTTATTTTCTATATCAAAGTGGAGTATGCTGATAATATTCTTTCTCATTAGGATTCTGTGCGATTGAAAAAGATGATGTATACATTTTCTCTAGAAATGTACTATGTATGTAACACATTAAAACGTATTAGTGCTACAGTCTTCAAAGTAGGCTCTTACTTACATTCTCTAAATTTTGTTTTTACTTTAATGCAAAAAAAATAAAAATAAAAATAACTAATAACTTAGACATGAAAGCATATAACTAAACTAAATGCTGAAAATACACTGATAAGGAGTATATGAAAATGGAGTATAAAATCTAATTTTTGAAAAGTTGAGGTCTGTAAAAGACTTTATTTCATTAAGTATAATAGTGGCATTAACAACAGCATATAAAGTATTTTTAAAAAAAAAGTTGCTATGGAGTTGACTCCAACTCATGGTGATCCCACGTCAAAGTACAACGGTACTCCATAGGGTTTTCAGTGGCGGATTTTTCCGAAGTAAATCACCAAACCTTTCTTCTGAGGCATGTCCAAGTAGACTCACTCAAATCTCTAACTTTCAGTTAGCAGCTGAACATATTAACGCTTTGCACCACCCAAAGACTCCCATAAACTGTTTAATACAGCTGTATTCCACATAGTGGTGTGATATCACAGAAGTAACAGAGGGCTTTGCATAAAATGACTCAGCTGTGTATAATTTCTGTCACTGTAAATTATGACAAAGGATAAGAAATATGAGAAGCACTTTGTAAAATAATGCAGTACAAAGATTATTTATGTTAACACATTATGTTCCTTTTAAGAATTTCCAAGAAATTAGAAGTAATTGAATCATTGAAGATGTGCTGTTCCTTATTTTTCCCAGTGAAGTTTGGTATTTGATGTAGTACCATAGCACATCATATATTTTATATTGTCTAATTAAATAAATGGAGCCCTGGTGGCACCAGTGGTTAAACGTTTGGCTGCTAACCAAAAGGTCAACAGTTTCAATCCGCCAGCTGCCTCTTGGAAACCCTATGAGGCAGTTCTACTCTGTCCTATAGGGTTGCTATGAGTTGGAATTGACTTTTTTGATATATAGCATTTGTCTGTAGGAAGGGATTATTTTTCCTCTCCTGCTAAATGGAATAATGTGCATACCAAAATGGGATTGGGTATAATTCCCACACCATAACAGAATATGGTATAACTTACATACCATAATAGCACAGTGGATAGGGTATAATTTACATTCCATAAAATGCATCCATTCTAGGTGTACACTTCAGTGATGTCCTGTAGGAAGGATATTTGAATCATACTTGTATATGGGATGTGAACTGCACGTAGTCCTTGAAAGTAGTTTTCCAATGTTATGCTGTCATTTGTTTGTTTTGTTTTTTGAGAACTTTTTAATTTGAATTTATCTTAGAATTTCTCTTTTTGATATAGAGCATGGAACCTAATAAAGTAATGAGTGAGGCTCAATATTGATGTCAAAAAGTGTAATTCAACATGGCTCCAATAATAGTCAGGTGGTACAATATAAAGCTGTTGAAGGGTAACATGCTGTATATATGTTTAAGATGTTTTTTTTAATCCACCATAATTACCTTAAAAAATAGCACTTGTTTTTTTTTTAATTATTATAGAAGCCAAACTAATTCCTTCAAAGACTAAACATGAATTAAATATCAATATAAATCCTACCTGCTTAATCCTTTAATAAGTGAATAAAAATCATCATGGTTCACGTTTTAAAATAGACTTATTTCTCCATCTATACCTAGGAATTTTCTAGTTATGTTTCTAATCTTCAACATTTAGCTCATTAATTGTTATTAGTTATCTAAGCATTCTAGTAGGACTCTATAAGTCAAACATGGAGCAAAACATTTGAAAAAAAAAAAACAAACTAGTACTCAGGAGTGGGCCCAAGGAAGCAAACAGGTAAATAAATCATTTCAGCATTGTGTACTAAAAGAGATGACAGTAATGTGGACAGAGTGTGGGAAGTAAGAAGATGGGGCTTTTACCTCTGCCTAGAAGTGTTGAGGAAGAATTTTCCAGAGAGGTGACATTGGAGGTATATTTATGAGTTCACCATATGGAGAAGATGAAGATAAGGTGCTCAGAGCAATGGAAGATGTATTCATCAAGATACAGAGATTAGAAAGAGCAAGCTGTTTGGGGAGCATTTTAAGTAATGTCATGTGGTTTGAGCTTATGACACAAATTTGGGGTGTGATGGGAGAGCAGAGAATGAGATTTAGTAAGAAATGAAGCTGGAAATAAAGTTCAAAAGGGTCAGACGATAAAAAGTCTTCTATGTACAATTTAAGAAATTGCAACTTTGTCTTAATCACAATGAGTTTCCCCTGGAAGTGCTTTAAAAACAGGGTTATTGGTAATGCCTGGTAAAGAATAAGATATATAATTTAGAAAACAGAAGACAGATATAAGAGACATTTATAGGATTGAATGATAGGACATATGACTTACTGAATATGGGACATGAAACAGAAAGAAGAGTCAAAGATAATTTCAATAGTTGTAGTTTGGGCAAAGTTGATACTATTGACTAATTATTAGCTAATTAGGGGCTGTTTTAGAGGAAGTGATAATAAGTTCAACATTGGACATGTGGTGTTTTGGAGTGTAATAGTTCATCTTGGTGGGCACATCTGGGAGGCATTTGAATATATGAGGTTGGAGCCCAGAAAAAAGAAGAATCTAGAAATGCACTGTCCAATATAGTAGCCACTAGTCATATGTGGATTTAAATGAAAACATAATTAAAATTAAATAAAATTAAACTTTCTGTTTCTTTGTCACACTAGCCACAGTTCACATGCATAGTGACCACGTATGGTCGGTACTATACTGGACAGGACACGTTATAGAACATTTCTATGATGACAGACAGTATTTCCCTGGCAACATCCCCGCAGAGGAGGAAGAGCTCAAAGGGAGAGGAGAAAAGACCTAGGATAGAGAAATTCATGGAATCTCCAGGAAAAGAATATTATAAGAATGAGAAAATGCTCAAAAATATAGTCACTGAATCAACTGCTCACTTACCAGAAGTTTGAATCAAATCTTTGGCCATCTAAGGTTGTTCTCCTCTTCATTTGTGCCTAATTCTCAGTTCTTTGCTATTTTCATGAAAGAGCTTCAGCTGGCTTGTTACCCCATCCCTGTAGTTTGATTTTAGCAGATATAATATTGTATTCATTTTATAGAGCCCTGGTT